GTGAATAAGCTTATTAAAATTATTAATAGGAAGTGCATTAAAATATAAACAGAGTAAGCTAAGTAACAAGAACCTAAACTGAAATAAATAGATGGTAACAATTGTTGTAGTGTAATATATAATATATGCAAATGTGGATATACTTCTACAGATCTACAGAAAAAATTGAAAGAAAAGGAAAAAGGATATAATATGAAATAATATACATAAAGATATGTGTAGAAAGAAAACAAAAAAATAAATAAATAAGTAAAAAAAAATAGAGGAATAAAAATAGAGATTTACAGGTGTGTTCAGCTAGGAGTTTTACTTAGAACTGGAAAACCAGTGTAAGGGATGGTATTGGGGATTTTTCGGGACTTGTTTGTGTAATGGGAACCTAGAAAATTACAGTATCTAAAATTTGAAGATATGGATGGATCCAAGGGAAAAAATACTATATCTATGAAATATTAGATTATAAATATATACATATATATGTATAAAAAAACTTATAAACTTGGCACCTCTACGGTCAACTATTAAATATTCAATTTATATTTTAGGTATGCGTATTTTTTTCCTTTTATCCCTCGTAATCAGCTGTTCAACAAAACCTTCCTCTACGGTGTTTATGGATCCTTCTGTTTTCTTCAGTACATATTTAATGGTTTGGTGAGAAGTCAAAAATATATATATATATATATTTTTTCTTCCGCACATATGTGATCTTTTTTTTTTCTGTCCTGATGATGCCTGAATTGGCCACAAGTTGACGAGTTAACTGTTGACCTGTAACGTAGAGACTCATGGCTTTGAAATATGGATTTTTTCATTTACAACCTAATCACAGAATGTCTCTTTTTTAACTATATGTTTATTTCAGCAAAATCTTACATATAACTGAATATAATTCACTTCCATGCCTGTTATCTCCTAGGACCTAAGAGGTCCGTTGATTATGAAAAAAAAATAGTATTAGTCAAAATGATTTTTTTTGGGGGGGTTAGGGGAAAAAACTGCTGACGTTTATCATTTCCTTCAAATTGTACTGATTGATTTCTTTTATTTACGACCTTAAAAATACTATTATAAAAGTGAATATGTTTTAAGAAAGAATAATACAAAATATATATAAATTACTATCGAGAAGAAAAAGAAAAGAGAACAAAAATTAAAGAGTATATAGAAATTAAGTCACTATATCGCAAATTTGTCAGAAAAAATTACTCAGTTCAGATTAATTGAATTAGCCCTTATTTATTTATTACTGCCTTCCTTGCCTTTCGGCTACACGGGATTTTGCAGGGATGGCGTATCAAAACGGGTATGCCATTCCTGATATTAAACGGCAAGTACTTTAACGATTAAATTTTGTTTTTAAGACTTTTCTTTTTCTAACATTTTCATCTCACCATATCAGTTTGGCGGCCTTCCATTAGCAGGTTCTCTTCTTCCCAGATTACAGTTTGAGGGCCCCAGAACAGTTTTTCCACCCGTACACAAAATCTTTGTAATACGGGTAGTTCTGCTCCGTCACTAACTGGGAAAATTCATCCTCCGTGAGGCCATAGACTCCAATTTTGTCCATCATTCTGGCCGGTAGTCCATCAAAGATGAAAAAAAATTGGCAAATTGGAGTTGAATTAGACCTTTGTTCTTAATGAAAAAATGATTTTTTATTCACTTCTTAATTCCAACGGCTGGATGAAGATACATATAAATCTATGTTTACCCTAGCAGTTTCTCCTAAGGTATTGCCCTGAAGTTTTCCCTTATCGTGAGGACTTGGTCCACAGCCAGGACACAGCCGTGACCCGTAGTGGCCAACATTACGTGAGCTGACTGTCCACACTCACTTATTCAACTCTTTTCTCCTCCCGACACAAAATATAAAACTTTATCCTAGAGATCTTTAATGGCAATAGAATAATTTGTATCTTATTTGTTTTTAATTTTTATTAAATTTCGCCTCACTCTCACAAATAAATAAGATGTTGATATTTTATTTATTTTGGAGGTCAATTTAGCGCAACTTTGAAACAAACTCGTCCCCTCCCAAATTTCCCTTGTTTCAATAAATATTTTGGAGGGTAAGAAAAAAAAAAAAAAAAAAAAAAAAAAAAAAAAACCCTTCCCAAAAATATTCTTTCCTAGTCTTCCTCGATTTTAAAATACTTTGAAGCTATAAAAATATCATGATCCGAATTCAGCCTATAAACAATGCTTCGACTATCTGGTATCTCTTACCACAACGATCTCGCTCACTCTTATTATACTTTAATTTCCTTCATTTCGACTTCATTCGATATTATATGATTGATTAGCTGATGTACCCATCGTTGACGGATACATAGTTAAAATTTGAGAATCTTATTTTGAGATAAATATTTTATTATGGGTGGAAAGGAGATTAATTTCATAACATTGGGTGAGAGGAAAGAGGTAATTTTAATTTTTAAAATTTGCTTCCGATTTCCGGCTAATCCATTTGGTTAATCCTAAAACTGTATACAACATTAGGCTCGAGAAGTTGAATCGAATGACACCTTGAACGGGAAGATCGGACAAATTTGAAAAATGAGTGTGTTTTAAGCGACAACGCGTTACAGATGTTAGGTATTTCGGATTTTTCCCGTTTAGTTGTGATAATTTTTCCATCAGTTTAATAGTACAACTGTTAAATATGGCTCGCGGTAGAGTAGGTTGGGGTGAGATTCTGCAATTTACAGATATATGTTATATATAGAAAGGAAAAGTATAGGGATAAAATAAAATTAATAGATATTATAGACGTTTTACGGTTACGTTATTTTAAAGTTTATGTATTTATATGTCTTGGGTGTTTCAACAACGTTTCCACCAAAATGTTACTCATTAATACACAGTTTATTTTGGTTTGTTATGGAGTAATATTTGTATTGATTATTTTATGAATATAATAATCATTATTTTTTTGACATGGAAAATAGTTAGTTTTATTTTATATTTTGTTTACTTGAGTATTGTCCAATAGATTGTTCAAGTAAAGCAATCCTGCTATATATTCCTACACGTTTATACTCATAGTATATATTATTATACGTTTCTGGTAATTCGCTGTACTAACGCGAGTGAGGTTACCAGAAATATTGTTTATCTGTACTTATTATATTTTTTCCAAATATGTTTATACTTTTATTGGTTCCAGAAAGGGACCTATCTATTTCAAAATATATTAATTATATACTTAATATGAATAATCAAGGATATATCACAGACCCCCTTCTGTGAAATACTAAATTAATTTAGAGTTCATATTAGATTTCTATTCTAAAACTATCGAGTTACCAAATTACTTATTTCTATTTATATATCTAAATTGTGGCGTGGCATGCGAGAAAAAAGGATTGAAATCAATCTTTAACTTTAAGATTTAAACATTATTAAAACATTTAGAATATTGCATTGAGGATTAGTTTTGATGTGTGTACGATTAGTCACTCTGTTATTTTATGCATTGCCAACACAGGTTTACATGAGAAGGTTTTGAATGAATATTATTACTTAACTTGCTAAACTTCTTTCTTGTCTCTTGTGCAGCAGTACCTTCTTGACTACCTCATGTCTTGCCAACGATTAGTGTTGCCCAAATGCGAGACCGAGACAGTCTTGGTCTTGCAAACTCAGTCTTGGTCATGGTCTCGGTCTTGCGCAAGAGTCTCACAAAGTGCAAGACCAAGATCGATTTTGGGCAACACTAGCAACGATGCAGTTCTGCTTTTCTTGCTTGGCACTGCTTCCAATTTCTCTTGGCAGCTTCTCCACTGGACAACCTGCCTCCAAGCTATCTTAAGCATCTTCTGTTTTTTTTCCGAAAAATCCTTTCCCAGATACTTTTGATGAATCCATAAACACCATATCTAAATTTCTTTCCAACATCATTTTCCATCGTAGGTTTGTAGTAGAAAGCGACTTCTCTTCTTTTACTGAAATTCAAATAGTCTTTAGACTAGTGTTTCCCAAAATCGGTCTTGGTCTTGAACTTTTCAAGACTAAAACCAAGACCGCCTGACTGTTGCAAGACCAAGATTGATTAAAGAAATTGTTTTCGTGAATAAAAATTAAGAAATAATAGTTAATGATACTTGACAATTTTAATTACCATAACTCTTCTCATTTTTCATTCGGACTTAGTTCGGTTTCCAATATTTGAAAAATTACAGTAATACTTTACAGTAATCTCTATAGGCTAATAGGTAACTGGAAGACTCTTACGCAAGATCAAGACCAAGACTGAGTGAGCAACACCGAGAATCGTCTTAGTCTCGCATTTGGGCAACACTAATTTAGACCTTCCAAATAGGCTAAGTTTATCTATTATGAACATAAGCGGATTTTGGGCAAACCATTATCTAACCCATCTATGCCTGAACTCCTATTCAGAATTCTGTGCTGTCAATTTTTAAATTATCCTTTACTAGACTGACTCCACTTACTTTTATTTCGTGGAATATATTTCAATGTCATGAAGTATATGTAAATATCAATATACGAATGAGCTCCCTCGATATATAGCATTAAATAAACACATATATTTTACCATGCATATGCCATATATATCCCCTCACATAAAACTTCTTCCTTCAGAAAATCCTTCGTCATTCGTGCTGTTTCCTTATGAAACTCTCTTCCTACTTCCATACGTCAATCCTCGTCCACAAATTCCTTCAAACAATTCCTGTACCACCACCTACTCTACATTCAACTTCCGCAAACATGTAAAATCACTTGCATCTATACACTGCAATAACAATTAACAGTTAATTAGTTTATATTTTTTATTATTCTAAGTCAGACCCATAAATTTGTAACTCTGTTATTATTCTTAGGGGTCCCAGAATAAAATTATTTTTTTTATTTCATATTTAATTAAACTATTTAGTAACTATTATAAATAAATACATAAGTATAGGTATATACAAAGAGCCTTTATAGGAAGGCAGTATCGATCAGAGGGTAAGAGAGCGGTGTTGTTACAGAGGTCGCCATAGCGAGGAGCCGAGCGGTCGAGTAGAGGCAGTCGGAATGGAGTGGCCGAGATGAACAGGTACATCACCCTCCACCAGCTCGGCGACGGGACCTACGGGTCGGTACACCTCGCTCAGAGGGTGGACACCGGCGAGAAGGTGGCCATCAAGAGGTCAGTACTGCTTTAGTAATTAATTAGTACCATGGTAGCTACCATAGTAACATCGAGCTCTGCTCTCAGGATCTGTGCCCAAGTGTTTAGTTCCGGGGTAATACCTTGGTTTGGGAAGGTTGAATAAAAGTATAAAACATACGAAAATCCACAATATCGGTATAAGATTTTGAAATAACTTGGAAACCGTTAGCGACAACGCAGAATTGCAGAGTACCAACTAAAATTATAACTATTTTAATTAATTAATCCCAAAGAAAATCGTTTTGAGGCTTAAGAGCTTGCTCAAAAGCCTTCTGTTTCCTCTTTACCATACATTTTTTAAAATTATTTTAAAAAAATAAAGAAACATGTGTATTACAATAATTTTTCTTTTTTTTTTCTTTCTTACTATTTTGCAATAAAATGGCGATCGAAATCTTACTTATTTGTAATGTGTTGAATCATTGAGACACCCAATAATTAGTCTAAAAACAAGATGTTATATACCTAGATTTATTATAACATGAATTAGAAACTGACGATGGAGCACATTAGTTTTAAGCCACGTATCTACAAGATCATTGGGAATGTTGTTCTGATGATAGGAGTAAATATCCCGAAACGTAAACTTGTAAACATGCAATTTTGATAATACAACAAATATATTTAATTGTTGTTAATTGTAAGTAGTCATTGCTAAAAGACAACTTTCTTGAAAATTTTATCCACATATTCTATTAAAAAATATTTCCTAATTGACCTGATCAATCCAGCAACTACTTTCAGCAACAATCTTATTTATTAATATTAATATAAATATATATAATATAAATATAAATATATACAATATAAAATATATATAAATTAATATGAATATTATTAAAATTGATATAAATAAAGAATTATTAATATAAAAAATCATATTTTTTAGAGTTATTGGTTTCCTTACTTGATTTATATTAATCAAAACCAAGAAAAAAGTGTTCAGTGTTTTAATAAGAATTGGACGTCATCGTTTAAACTGGTGTGTTTATCAATAGAAAGACTAATACATCGATTTATTTTGGAGAGGGAGAAATAGAAACCGGAATTTCAATAATCCAAAATTATATATTAAGAAAAGTAAATGTACTTCCAGTAGTTGAATATAATGTTTACTCCGGGTGAAAGAAAATGACACGTTTATCTAGCCAACTTTTTGACCAAAAGATTTAGGATATCATCAGGAGTATACAACAAAACCTGTACAACGATGTGAAAAAAACAGCTAGAAAGGAATTTAAATTATAATAATAATGAATTGTAATGATAAATATAAAAAGAAAGAAACGTTTTTATTTATTTACATATTCACAACAAAGCATTACTTTACACGTGCTAACGGTTGCCTCATCCTTAAAATCAAACTAATTTGGTTTCTTTATAAATTTTAAACATTGCAATACATTTTATAAAACATATACAACAAATATAATTTAAGTTAATACAGTGGGCAAAAAGTGAAAACATGCCACAAAATAAAATAAAATATGTATAAAGATATTTTAAAGATACTAGGGCATAAGGGCATAAGAATATATACATTAGCCTCTAGTTTTTCAAGTTTTCATTCTTTTTCTTTAAACTAAAAAATATATATATGTATATTGCAATGTTTTTTTTTTTAATTATTCGACCTTTATATATATATATATATATATATATATATATATATATATATATATATATATTCGGTTGGCGCTTCAGACCATTAAATATATACTATTCACATCTACTTATATTGAATTCTTAATTTATCAATTTATTGTATATAGGTGTGTATGTGTTCTTTTTATTTATGTTTAGGTTATTTTATTCTTATTTATTGTATATATATATTATTTTTCTGTATAATTTATTTTGTTTATTGTACATAGAGTGTGAATGTGATCTGTGAACTCTATTATAAATGTCCTAGAGACAGATTGTAATATTTTTCAATAAGTTTAAAAAAAAAAGATAAAAAAAAATTCATCAATTATAATTCTTGTATATAATTATAGACCAGATTGACAGAAATACATAAATTGAATATAAATGATTCTTAAACTTATTTGGCTTTTATCACTTAACCCCTATGATTAAGGAGTTTTTTCTATGTTTCCTTATTTCAATCTAACATATATAATATCTGCTTCAATAAAGGAGTATTTGAAATAAAATATCACTCAACAAAGGAAGTTACTTAAAACTTTTATTTATAGAAAACAAAATGGAGCAGTTTCGAAATTAGAATGGTTTGGTTATACACGTACATTTGTGACTAAACAGGTTATGCTAATTTTTAGACCAAACAATGTTTTCGTTTTCCGATTTAATAACATTTTTTTTCTCAACAAGTAATTGAAATATATATTTTATTCTTGCCATATTTTTAAAATTCTTATGAAAAAAATAAGATAGTAATAATTTTAATTTTATAGTAATAATAATTTTAACAGCTCATTATAGTTCACATAACCACTATGACAAAACAAAAATGTAGAATCACAAAAGTTTATAAGGTGTTAGCATAGTTACCCTCCAGAGCCAAGGTTAAACATATGAATATATTTTCTGGTATTTTTACATTTTAAAATAATATTTAGTTTTTATAATTTATGATATCGATAAACTATTCCATTTACTCTTGATCGTAACACTACTTGTGTATAAGTGTGCAGTCCTCAATATGTTTTCTTTACCATAAATGAATAATTTATATTTACCATGTAATAGTTTTTTCAAACTATAGCTCATATAAATAAAGATATTTTACGTACTAAAAAGTAAAAATATAAGCCTAGGAAATGAAGTATTAAATATTTATACTCGTTTTATGCTTAAAATTCTACTCTTCAAATTATTTAACTTTTTTTTGAGAAATAATAGATGATGTTGATTAAAATTATACTGAAATTTAATCATGTTATTATTATTATTATTGTCTTTTATCATAGAAATAAGCACAAGCCATTTTTAAAAACGTCTCCAATTTAAAATGTTTCGTGTTTGTAAAAAATATATATATTGCTGTATGAAAAAGTATTATATACTTTTACATATTTTATTTATTTATTTTTTACACATTCCCATTCCCGTATAACACGAATATTCGGTAATTCTATGCCCTCTCGATTATCGATTGTTTCCCCAAAGGCAGTGTATAGGTTTTGATTCCGTCTTTCTTCTGTCATTGATGGAATCATATTAACTTTATAGCATTAATTGTCATCATCTTTTCTATTATCTATATTTAAAATTATAATACAATAGTAATAATTAAATAAATAAATAATGCCTTCAATCGTAATAATATAAAATGATACTATTCCCGGTTTTAAAGTAATTAAAATGGATATGAAAAAAACGAATGACAAAACCAAAATTATAAATCGTGAATAAAATAAAAACTTGAAAATGGGCAAAATTGCCCGAAACGTTTTCGAGGTGTAAAAATTAACTAAAGAATCTATAAAATGTTTAAGGGTTAAAATATTTTTTCCCTCAACATTATAAACTTTATTTGATAATATGTACCCTTCAAAAAATTTCAAGATTTTATAAAAAACTTCGTTAATTTTTTAATTATGTCCAATATTGAGCAAAGTTTTGGGCAATTTTCTCTTTATTTTGCTTTTGCTGGAATCTGTTGGCTTATTTTATGTTCAATATGATCCTCTACGTTTTCCTCTGAGCTACTTGTTTGTACTTGTACTGAGCTATTTGTTCTTGTACTCTGTTATATACCTCTTTATGTGAACCCATGTTTGCGCTCTATAGGTAAGATGGCATGAAACATTTTCAAGATATTCAGCCTTAAGGTGCATTGGAAAAGTTTCTTTCATGGTAAATTTTAATGAAAAATGTTATTTAATTTATTAAGCCAATCGCTCCCACGGCTGTTAGAGACATCGACGTAATAATCATGCTGTAGTTAATCATTCTTATTTGACTTGTGTGGACTGTAAGTGATCATGATTTCATCATGCTATGGAGTCAAACGGATTGCTAAATGATTGGATGACTAGTAAAATAAGATTTCTTTATTTTTTATCTATTATATTGCAATGTAGATTATTGAAGCTAAATATTTACAATCAGAGTTGGAATGTTAATAAATTCGGTCTGCATATTATTAACTATTTTAACTGAAGTGGATTAGGTGGGTGGTGACTGAAAATTAATTCCTTGGGTACTTGCTGCATTGTGGTACTCATCCTTCTATCTCTCCCCGGTCACCTGGGCCCTTGAGGTGAGACTCCATCTTGTTATATAAGGGCTCTACAGAAGTAATGATGGATGGCCAGCTATATCTCTTCTTAAGTCGACATGAATATAGCAAGTCCTCTGCATGTCAAGACCCTATCTTTGTTGCTTCTAAATCCTGCCAAGAGATAGCAGCAGTGGTGCTTGCTTCTCCACTAAATTCAAATTAAATAAAGTGGTAGCTTGGCTATATTCACTTAACAAATATGTTTTCCATTTCCTTCTCAGTCCTTCTGTTGAATGGGATTAACTGGCAAAGGTATATAGTATCATAAACTCACTCTTTCCAAAAACCAATATGCTCACCAACGGAAGCCAAAAAGACAAGCAAACTGAGTGTGTATACGTGTCATGGAAAGAATGGTAATAAATTTATCTCGCATAGCATTATTGTTCCTGTAATTCCTTTTTTTTTTAACTTGGAGAGCCGCTTAAACGTCATGTCATATGTGTACTGAGCAGTTTCCTATTTTTATTTCAAAGTAAATATCAATTTAAAATTAAATTAATTTAAAAAAATAAATAAATAGACGAACTGTAGATATCCATTCATTCAACATATACTAAAAACAATACATAATAAAAATAAATAATACCTTTGTACAATATTTACATTCGCCCAGGCTACTTCAAACCAAGCTTTATCCTTCACATCTGGAAGGCAAAGCAGGACTTCAGTGAACCAGCGGATGTAACAGAAAGCAATATCAGATGAGAGAGCCACACATTCT